CAGGGTCGTCTTCCGAGCTTTGCGTGGTGAGCATTTCGGGAGCCTTTTGCAACGCTCTCGGAGCATTCCAGGGCACCCTTGAGCGGCAACAGTGCCCGACACATTCTCCAGACTCGCCGTTTCTCAGGGATTCCTTATTCATTCCAAGCTATTTGTCTTCATCCTGCCGTCGTCTGAACGCAGGCCTCCACGGTCTTCGGCGTCCATCGCTAGCACTCCGCGAATCCATCGTTAACATTCAGAATGATACGCTGCATGATTTCCCAGATCTTCGCAATACTCCACACGGGATGCTGAAACGAGGGCCGCTAGATGTTCCAGAAATCTTTGAGAGCATCCTGATCCCATCGTATCATTACGCTGTTATCGTCCTCAGCGCCGTCGTCGGCGTCATTGTCGTGGTCGTCTGTCGGCGTCCATCGACTGTCCTCGTCGTCGTGGTCGTGTGTGCCGTCGTCGCTACGTGGAGGAGGTGGAGGAGGAGGAGGAAGAGGAGGAGGAGGAGGAGGAGGAGGAGAGAGGGAAGGAGGAGGAGGAGAGGAAAAGGAGGAGGAGGAGGCGGAGGAGGAGGGGGAGGAGGAGGAGGAGGAGGAGGCGGAGGAGGAGGAGGAGGAGGAGGAGGAGAGGAGGAGGAGGAGGAGGAGGAGGGGGAACAACGGTAGGCAGGAAGGCAGGGGTGGGGCAGGGGAAGCAAGGATAATCAGTGAAAATGAGGATGCGGTGGTCGAGGGTACGGGGAGTCATCGTCGTTGTTGTCGCCGTCGCAAGGAGGAAAGCAAGGGAAATGTAGGGTGTCCAGGAGGAGAAGCAGAGGAGTGGGAGAGGGGAGGATCAGGAGAAAGGAGAGGAGAAGAGGGATGATGCGACTCACGGATGGTGGGGTACCGGGAGTCGTCGCCGTTTTCGCCCAACTAGACAGACGGAGAAGAGGAAGGCCGTGGGGGCGGAGGAGATGGCGGGGAAGGCCCCGTCGTCGTCGTTGGTGGAGGATGGGGATCATGCAAGCACAAGTCACAACAACGACGGTGCAATATACCCTCCCTCCAAATTTCCTGTTCACAGGACCCTGCAAGAATTTGTTTACTGCGGGAAGTGCCCCATTGAAAGACAACCGGTTCAGAACCTCAAGCCGTGCAAAACACCATTCCTTGGATGCCAACGCCGCGAGTCAACGTGACGGTTGCGTCCTGACGCGCGTAAGTTGCGCTGGAACGCCAGCCTTTGAACTGGACCACCGCCGGCCAACGTGATGTTTGCGTCCTGACGGCCCTGAACCGTGCCAGCGCTCAGTTTCCGGGACCCACACGGTGCGAGTCCTCAGATCTGCGGCGCACGCCCAAACGGCGAGTGTGCGCGGCGCCACGGCGAGAGCCACATTCTGACAAGGAGCCGCCCTCCATCCGCAAACCGGATGCAAGCTTTGGAAGCAAGACTGCGCGCGGCGCTGCGGCGAGCGCCACAGTTTGAGATGGAGCCGTTCTCCACCCGTCAAGCTCTTGCGCAGCTCAAGGCACATCGGCGCGGCGCCCAGGCGAGAGCCATATTCTGGAAGCCCCCTGCCCTTCCTCCGTGACGCCGCTGCGAACTCCAAGCCTCAGAATCATACGCGGCCAGGCAGTCTTAGGCGGCCCGCCTGGCCCGCCCTACCAAGACGTCTGGGGGTGAGACAGGGAGGAGTTGTTCTTATGGAAAAAAGGGTCAATGAGGAGGAGAACCGTGAGGGGGAAGGGGTGGGGAAGGGAGGAGGAGAAGGACGAGCAGCAGCAGGAGGAGGGCGAGGATGGGCAGGAGGAGAGGAACGTTGAAGTGAAGCGGGGGAGGAGGGACGGAGGGAGGGAGGGAGGGAGGGAGGGAGGGGGGGCGATTGAAGGAGAAACCGCATCAGGGAGGAGGAGGATAATCCTAAGGAGAGAAGGGTGGTTTGTGGAAGGATGAAAGGAAAGGTTAAAACAAGGGCCAGGTGCTTTGCCGGTATTGGACCGCACTATTGCCTTGCACGTGCTTCGTGGGACGCCGCTCCGCGAGCGCCCCCGAAGCATCCGCGAAGAGCTTGCAGAATGGTTGCGACTCGATTGCGAAGGTCTGGCGAAGCGCGTGAGGAGACGGAACGACGAAATGGGGGGCGGGGAGGATGACGAGCAGGCGTGAACAAGTCAAAACGAAACACAGCCGCCCAAGTACGCTCGAAAGCCTCTCTCCTCAGGCCTTGGTGGTCGCAGGCAGGGCTTGGCGTCGCCGGCGCCGGAGAAAATCGGGCCCCGGACCCCTCGAGGGAGCCGAGGAATGGCACGAGCACGTCCGTGACGATGACGTCGCCGTCGTCGCCGCCGCCCACGCCGTCGTCGATGCCGGCGAGAAGTCCGTTCGACAAGAAGCCCCACGGGAGGACGAGCGCCCCAGCCGAATCCGCAGGCTGGTGGGCCGCAGGCCGCGCCGCCACCCCGGCGGCGCTCGCGGCGGCGCTCGCGGCGGCGGCGCTGGCGGCGTCCGCGCTGCGGAGGCCCGACGGCAGCGGCCCTCGACGACGACGACGGCTCCGACGACGACGAGACCTCGACGACGACGGCGACGACGAGGACAACGACGACGGCGGACGCGACGGCAAGTACGACGGCGAGCGGCAGCCGCGGCGAAAGCGCCGACGTCCACGGTGACGCCCTCTCGTCCGCCTCGTCCACCCTCTTTCTCCCGCTCCTCCTCCTCCGTATCCCCCTCCTCCTTCTCCTCCTCCCCCTCCTCCTGCTCCAGCGAGAAAGACATCGGCACGTCTCCTCCTCTCTGCTCTGAGGCTTCTGGGCCCCTCGTGGTGGTCGTTGCTGGAGGCAGATCGAAGAACTGGCTTGCATTCCGCCTGACGAAACATACGCAGACACCCTCCAATGGATTGTCCGTGGGTCTCATAGGAGGGTGGCGGCGTATCAATCACCACTGAGAGCCACCGACTTCATACGCCGCCCTCCCTCCACGGAGGTGCATGCGAAGTTCCTCGGAGGGTGCCTGTGTATATATACCTTCGTGGCGTATGGATGGGCCCAGGGAGCTGACTGGGGCCTCGCTCGCCAGGACCCCGGGCGAGGCCTCCTCTGCGCCGCCCCGGGGGGCGGGAAGCTGTGGCCGCGCGGCTCGCGCCGCGCCCCGCGAGCCGGCGAGCGGCCCCTCCTCCCGTGGGGCGGGCGCCCGCGCGCGGAGGCCCGCCTCGTCTCGCGGCGGCCCGAGGCGCCCACGCCGGGTGGCGACCGGGGTGTGCCGGGCGCGGCAGCGAGGAGGCGCGTCAGCGGCACCGTGACGGGTACTCCAGATTTCGTAATAAAGGGATGGGGGGTCTCATTTCGGGGGGGGGGGGGTCTCTTCCAGGCTATCTTGGAGGGCCTGGGGGGGTCTGGGGACGATGCTTTGGAGGGTTCTCCCACGGGGGAGGTCTGAAATGGCTTGTCTTGGAGGGTCCAGACCCCCCTCCCTTTTATTACGAGATCTGGAGTACTCGCTAGCGGGTACCTTTGGAGATCTGCCGAAAGTGTCCATCTTCGGGCCTCTTTCTGGCAGTGCAGCGTTGCCCACATCGGGGGGGGGGGGGTCGCCGGGTCTACTGGGCAAAGTGCCCGTGAGTGGAGTCCCCGTCAGAGGGGCGCTGAGCTCGTGGACTGAAGTAGGACTGCGCCTGAAGCGGACTGGGATCTGGGGACCCAGAAACACGTACACGTTGTTCACTTCAAATACTTCGAAAGGTCTTAAACATTTGTTGGGGGGGGCAAGATCCTTTCATATTTCTAGCTGATCCATCCTGGGCCCCTCCCTGGCCGCTATATGGGGCCAGGAACCATCAGAAGCGAGCACAATTTTGAAAGGAGCACGGTTAGAAATGAGCGACGTTTGCTCCCAACAACCGGCGCGTGTACTCCAGAATTTGTAATAAAAGGGAGGGGGTCTCATTTCGGGGGGGGGTCTCTTCCAGGCCATCTTGGAGGGCCTGGGGGGTCTGGGGACGATGTTTTGGAGGGTTCTCCCACGGGGGAGGTCTGAAATGGCTTGTCTTGGAGGGTCCAGGACCCCCTCCCTTCTATTACGAGATCTGGAGGACCCTCGCGCCCTCGCGCCCTCGCGCCGCCCCGACCCCCGAGAGGGGGCGTCGCGAGCCCCGCGTCGCGCCCTTCGCGCCCCGCGGTTCGCGGCGCGCGCGCGCCGCTCCTCGCGCTTCTCGCGCCGCGCCCCGCTCCTCGCCCTCGAGGGGAGCTCGGGCTCCCAGGGTCCTCCTCCTCCTCCTCCTCCTTCTCCTCCTCCCCTCCTCCTCCTCCTCCTCCTCCTCCTCCTCCTCCTCCTCCTCCTCCTCCTCCTCCTCCTCGAGGTCCGAGGAGGCTCGTTGGCCGCTTTCTGCCTCCGGGGGCCGTCTGCGCGGTAGAGCTTGCTTTTTTTTTCTCCAGATCCAGGCAGGTTTACTTGCATGGCGTTCCCCCCCCCCTCCCGCACCCCTTGCCCCTCCCCAATTGAATAACACGAGCGTACAAGTGCCTCCCGACGTGCGTGATCTCCGCACGTCAGGCTGCGTTCGGCCTGCTTGCTTCTGGCTCAGGCCCCTCACCCCCCCCCGTCCACGCAAGTGCATTTGCCTGGATCTCAAGAAAATCAATATCGTAGTCTCGAGGCTGGACTGTTCCTGTCCTGGCCTGGCCCCGTGCATCCTGGTCTGCCGTTGGCGCGGCTTCGGGGGCGGCCAAGAGGGGGTGATGACTAGGGGGGTGGAGATCATGGCGGGGGCCATGATATCTCCCCAGGTTCCCTGGCGCCTCCTCGTACCTCAATGCGTCCCCTGCCCCCCCCCCCCCCCCCTGGGCCGCGCACGTGCCGCCGGCCATGATCAGCGTCCCCCCCTCTTGGACACCCCCTTAGTGGGCCCTGGAAACGACAGGGCCGTTTTTTCACCGGTTCCGTTTTGCCGTTTTTGCCGGTTCCGACGCCGTTTTTGTTACCAGCTCCGTCGCCGTTCTTGTTACGGGTTCCCGCCTCGATTCCAATCCTGGAGCCGTTTTTGTTGCCGTTTCCGGTCGCCGTTTCTATGCCATTCCCATTTTCAACTGACACTTTTCGGAAACGGTGAAAAACAGCCCTGCCGCTTCCGGGGGCCACTAAGGGGTGGGCATACGGTCGACCCGACTCATAAGGCTGCGCGGTACGGCTGCAAGGGCCTGGGGGGGGGCATGTTGGCGTCCTTCGAGCGAGGCTGGCCAGCGAAAGTCGCTGAGGACGGGCCGAAGGGGTCACTTTTTCTCGGAAGCGGTGAAAAAGCGGCCCTGCCCCGTTTCCGGGGCCCACAACATGGGAGTCAGTTGCGGCACAGCTTGGTGTTGTCAGGCGAGCGCGCTCCCGCCTCGCAAGCGGGGGGCGCCCCCGCGCGCGGCCGCGCGGCCCCGACGACCTGCCGACGGGAAGGCTGCCGAGCCCTCGATGCCCTCGGGCCGCTGGATGCCCCGCTCCTGCCCCGCTCCTGCCTCGGGAAGGCTGGCCTGCGCCTGCCCCGGCCGGGCCTCCCGGGCCCCCCGGCCTGCCGCGCCGGCGCGCCGGCCGCGTGGCACGCGGCGGGCGTCCAGAAGGGGGGTGCGGCGCCCTCGCCTCGCGTCTCCGAGAGCCCCGCAGGGAACCGGGTGCACACGGTGCGCGCGCGTGTGTGTGTGTGTGTGTGTGTGTGTGTGTGTGTGTCGTCCAGCTTCCTGGTAGCTCCCACTATCTCCTCGGGCGGGACGGCGCGGGATGTCTATTTGGGTGAGGTGGGGGCGTGCTTGGATCGGCGCTGGCCCGCCCTGGCGGCGCCTCTGGCGCCGCCCCTGGCGCGCTCCGACCGCGACAGGGAGGGGGGCTCAGCGCCGATTCGAGAAATCCGCGAGGCGGAGGTCCGAAAGTTTCTTTTCTATATGTATGTGTGCTTCCTCTAAGTCTGAGAAGGACCAGGTTCGCCAGGCCCAGCGACTCAGAGGGCCCCGCCTACAGTCAACCCACATGGTAAGGATGAGCAACTTCCCAAGGCTCACTCTTCCATCCTTGCCCCTTCGGCCCATCCTCAGCGACTTTCGCTGGCCAGCCTCCCTCGAAGGACGTTAACATGCCCCCCATCAGGCCCTTGCAGCCGTACCGCGCAGCCTTATGTGTCGGGTCGACTGTATGCCCACCCTCCCTCCCAAAAGATGGGAGTCAGTTGCGGCACAGCTGGATGTTGTCCAGACAGACACAAGACAAGAAGCCGCGCCCTGACGGCTCATCGGCAAAGCGGATAACTTGAAGACGCACCTGTACTATTACATGCACATGCACGGAACATTGAATGGGACGCCGAACCAGTACAGTGCCTCGGGGCACACACGCCGGACACTTCGTCCCAGCGCGTCGCGAGGGTGAGCTGCGCAAGTCTTTTTCTCAGGGGAGGGGGAAGGGAAAGGAGGGGAGGGGAGATACTATCGGCAATATTCTCCTACGGCCTTGAGCCATTGTCCCGGAGCTCCCTCTAAAAGAGCGTGCAAGCGAACTGGGTAATTACCTGCTACTTCTAAAGCCCTCGCGTACATATATTTGGTCCACTGCAAGCGGGTGCGTCCCCTGGCGCGAACACTGCCCCATTCTGGGCAGCGTGTTGCACGCCCCTCCCGTCTCAAAAACCATACTTCTCTGAAGGCTGCCTGGGCAATCTGCTGCGAGTTTACCATAAAGTCGTAGTTGTCGCTGTAGTAGAAGTACTGATAACGGCTTGGCGTTTGCTGTCGCCCTCACTGTGGCATTGCTGATCCGCGAGTAGTACGCAGGGTGTATTTTGTGAACTCTTCGGAGGCACTTCGCTTGGAAAGCATCGAGTCTGTCCCGGTCGGCCTTTAATAACATGCAACTTTCCAGGCCCTACAGCAGCTTCAATATCATGCAACTTCCAGTCCATACAGCACTTTGGTTTTGTAGTATGTGCTGAGGTTGGCATGATTCCACACTGTGCAGGTCTTCTCGAATGCCCCCCTCGCTTCCCCGATCATTCGTGTAAGTTCTGTTCTGGGGCTCCCGTCGGTGCTCAATAAGCCACCAAGATATACTGCGTGGTCCTTGCATGTGATGGGGTCTCCATCCGGGCCTGCGACATTTGCTTCCGAACGTACTCTCATCAATATTGTTTTCGAAACGTTGAGCTCCAACCCAACAGATTTTCCAACTTGTATGATAGCAGCCAAATGAATCTGGAGAGCTTCCGGGTTTGTGGCCACGAGCATCGTATCGTCGTCATATAGGACATCTTCGCTGACCAAATAATTGTTTGAACCATTCATTATTGTAATCAGAGTGTTCCAGTCTTTTGTCGACCGCCTCCAAGAGCACAGACATCACGATGATGAAAATATACAGTGATAATGGGCATCCTTGCGCTATGCCTGCCGCCTGTACTCTCGAGGATGTACTGCCCTTCCGATCTTTGACTATAAACGCCCTGGTACGGTATCTCGCTTGTACCATGTCGACCATAGCCGGAGGAATGCG